TCTCTCTCTCTCTCTCCCTCCCTCCCTCTCTCTCTCTCTCTGTGTGTGTGTGTGTGTGTGTGTGTGTGTGTGTGACAGAAGAAGAAGAAGAAGAAGAAGAAGAAGAAGAAGAAGAAAAAGGAGAAGAAGAAGAAGAATCGTTGTCTCACCTGCAGGTAACTGCCGCCATGTACTGACCACGTGGTGTCCCTGTGAAGGTCGTTGGCGCGGAGCCCAGCTATGGCACCCAGGTAAGTACCGCCGCTGCAGGTATGGCCTTCGCCTCCCTCGCTCTACTTACGCTTCTACCTCTAACGCAGCGTTGTATCGTGCTGCTCCAACAGCATGTGGCCCAAAAAGTGAGCTACTCGAACTGTGTGTCTGTTGTGGTCTGGCTCAGCTATAAGTTGCGTTGGGCCTCCTTGGTGTGCCTCCAAGTGCCTCTGGTCCTAGGCCGGAAACGAGGCCAATTGGGTCTGGGTCCCGACTGGACGTCCACACCCCTCCCTGATAATGCAGCAAGGACATCCGCTACGGGACAAGCATGAACCTGGTCCAAACGGGCCTGCCTGCGGGCGAACAAGGCCCACAGTGTGGCCTTTGTCCAAACACATCAGAGGTCTGTTTGGACGAACTACAAGTCTGAAACGATGCCTGAACAGACAAAAATAAGACAGCAAATAAATAAATAAATAATTAATAATAATAATAATAATAAATAAATGCTGCCTCAAATCGAAACCTGCGGCCCTGAGGCCGCCCGTGGGCCTCCGGGGCTCGCGTCTGAGGTGCATGCGGCTTGGTGGCCCCAAGCAACCGTCGGGCCCCGTGTGCAGGCTCAACATGTAACAGACAGAGAGAGAGGGAAAGAGAGAGAGAGAGAGAAAGAGACAGAGAGAGCATGTTTTAGACTAAGCAATGACAATCGAAAGCTCATTTCAACCTGATCGCGACTCATTGCTCTTCGTTAGAGCATGCGGAAACCAAGCTCACGTTTCCTGTTGGTAGGCGAACAAGCCAACGCGATGAATTCTGGTTTACAATGATAGGAAGAGCTCCCATCGAATGATCAAAAAGTAATGCGCTATGAACGCTTGGCTGCCACAAGCCACTGTGGTAACTTTTCTGACACCTCTATGGAAGAGAGAGAGTTCTC